TGTGGACTACAACTCCCATATCATTCTCAACCACTAGCTATACTGGCTGGGACTGATGGGAATTGTAGTCTAAAACACCTGGAAGGAACTATGCTGGCTGCTCCTAAACTAGGACAACCACTGTTAGGACAGCACTTATCAACTGAGCACCACCTGACAGCATTTCGATTCAGGATCTTCATCTGAAGTTTAAATGAAAGGGCTATTGAGAAGTAAGAAGTGATATACAGGTAACTTGAAACTTAGGCACATTTTACTTGTGTGCATTCAGCACTGAAGCTGCTTGGGTGGAAAAAAGACATTGGCAATCCTACCGGCCATTGAACTCAGTATGTTTTGACTGCACACAAATTTGGCTTTAGGTGTGATCCCTGCAACGTAACCCTAGTGTAAGTTGAGAGTCGTCTGCATCTCTTAGGAGCAGCATTTAAGTTTTGTGGAGAAGCTGTCTGGCTGCAGCAAATGCAACATACAAGAGACCTGGGGTATCTGCCTTCTGAAAGACCCATTCCAATTAGGGAAGCTGTTGTGTTCCCCTGCCGCCGCCCAAAAATGTTGCTGCCGCTGTACAACTTGTGTTCAAACGATGCAGAAACAAACGGAGGTTGCGTCACAGAAGTGCATACTACTGGTACAAACAAGGAAAGCTGCTATGCCCCCACTAGTGCAAACACAGCTGGAGCAGCTACGATTAAAAGAATAATGAGCTAAAACCTCCATCTACATTATCTGAACTGTGACAGAGTAGATACCAATTAACAGTGGGCTAGAGGATCCAGCCATTGATTAGGTGTGCAGGGTAGCAAAGCAATGAAGTGATGTTTATTCTTTTAGTCTGTTAATGTAGTTAGGGAAGACTGGTGATTTACCAGAAAGCTTTTAGCTCCAAGTTAAACTTTGGTGGCTTATTGCTACAGCAACACACTGGCCACTAGAGCTAACAATCTGGCAGATGTTTGCATTACAAAGGGTGTCCCCCCCCCACTCCGCCAGGGAAATTATTCCCATGTCAATTAGAGCTACATCAAGACCTTGCCAGGAATCATCAGTGAGAAAACAACAGGTGGATATATCTTTTTAAACTGCTGTTGGACCCTTGACAAAACTTTGTATGTTGCTTTGAGTGCTGCGAGGCAGCTTACAGATGTTTAAAATAAAGACGGTTTTCGCTGTGTTGTGCAGAGAACGCATCTTGGTAGGTATTTGACACCCCACAAAGATGCCTGCCCCATGCAATATTATGTATTTGGGTTGTAGCGGTTTCCCACAAGAAGTGGGAGTGAAAGCCAGGGAGTTAGGTGAGATGGGGGAAAGCCCAGTTGAAAGATTGTAAAACCTGAACTGCAGCTGGTTCAGGAGACATTTCTTTAATCAAATGCTACTTTTGAAAAGGGCTTTAACAGTCTCCTTGTGGAAGCCAAGTTAAGTCCCCTCTCCCCTCATTCTACCCTCAGATCTAGGAACAAGCCCATCCACAAACCATTGCTTAGGATGAGCTTTGGGGCTGCTCCACTGGATCTGGTTTTCTGCTGTTGATCCACAGCCCACAGCAGCCTCCAAATAAGTAGGGTTCCCCCTAGGGAACAGTTACCGCCATGGATCTTCCTCTTCCTCTCTGTGCACAGTGCTAGCTGGCCAAACCTCCTGGCTCCTTAGCAGGCTGTTGTTCTTCAGGTGCATTGGGAAGGATAAAGGTGGGATCCACCTGTGAGCTAGCAGCAGTCCTACTGCTGTTACCTGCCTGCTCTCTGCAGCCTCCAAATGAATAGGCTAGCTACCCCTTTAAGCTATCCTTCTAAAGAGCAAGCAGGTATGATCACATACTTAGCACCCCATGAGTGGGCTTCTAGCAAAATTCTAGCCTTGAGTGTTAGCTGCAACAGCTACAAATGACTTGATAGGACAAACAGTTGATTTTTTCCTTTCCCTTCCTGCTTAAAATCTCCTATCGTTTGATAGTAATATGTATATATAACACTAAAAAGCTTAATGATGTTACAATACACAAATCAAGTATAATTCAGATGACTAGGTATTTTTCCAATTGTTTAGCACAGGAATGAGAAACTTTTTCACCCCAAGGGCCACATTCCCTATTGAACAAGCTTCCAGGGGCCACATGCCAGTGGTGAGCAGAGCCAGAAAAAAATGTGGAGAGAGAAGCAATTGTGAAGTTTAACTTTGCGCAACAGGTTAGTTTCCATGCACGTCCACACAATCCTTTCTATCCCCTCCCCCCAATTAAGCAAGACCCTGGTCGGAGTTCAAGGGCTCATTCCAGCCAGACAAAAACAGTCAAGGAAGCTGCAAAGGGATGTGTCCTGGAGAGAGACAAGAGTCCCAGGGGCCAGAGAGAGGGGTCTGGAGGCCACATTTGTCCTCCAGGCCTGAGGATACCCAACCTTCATATCACATAAGAATGCACTTAGTTCTTCTGGTGAACATAGTTCTTTCTAAGGATGCATTCTTGTCTTTGCAGCCCTCTAGAATGGATTCGGATGCCCAATTTGCATTTGACCCATGTACAGAACACTCATCCACAAGTGTTGCTGTATTTATTTCAAAGAGGCAGATCTGCAGACACATTCATTTGCTGTCTTCATGGAGATACTGCAGTGTACATGTGCTCTGCACATACCTCAGTGATTGTGCAAGGCTCTATCTAGACCATCATGACAAAGTTCCAGTTCCACATTTCATAATTTTTGATTCATTTTCAGTTTGACAAGGCACATTTTGTGACCTGTAAGTGCCTTTCTCAGTCTCCTTGACCACCTATGGCTCTCTCTCTCATGGATAGTGGAACAGAATTTCATAGCAAAAACGGGCTGTCTAATGCTTTGGAGAAGTCTTTCCCCTCTTGCACCTAAAACCCTGAATGATGATTTATTGCTTCTTAATTACAATTTAATATGGCCAATAAGGTGCCAGCTGATTTATGTTACTCTGTATGAGCATAAGAAAATCTATTTTTGAAACAACCCATATATCTTCTCTTTCAGTAGCCCCGCTGAGAATGTCTTTGGAAATATACTGCCTTGTGTTGCTGTTTAGGTAGGCAGATCTAATAGTTCAATGCATCAAATTTGGCGCTTGGATCTTCTTGTATTACCTAAATGTTTGGCAGAATCATTTCACAAGGAAATATTTCCAAATGGGTGGAACAAAGAGGTGAAGGAGGGGGAAAAGTCTTTTACAGCTACTTACATTCACGAGAGAAGAAAGAGCTAATTTATAGGTTACCTTCAGAGCTTGGATACTATGACAAAGCAGCATTCGCCAGTTGGCTTGAGTGTCAAATCGGTAACATACAGGGACACTCACATTACTTTAACAATCTTTGTACACAACAGTTCAGCTGTATAAATCAACCAGTGTACACTTTTTCACACCAACTAACACCTGAACATGTGTAGAAATGCCTTGCACTTGTATTCAGTGCAATGTATGAATAAGCCTACAGGTAGGGTTAGGGTTATAGTTATAGTTGCTCCATCAGGTCCTTCAACATCACCTTTGCCCCAATGAAATCTGGTTTAGCCATGTTACAATCGTCATGGCAGCCCTATTAATGCACTAAAAGGAACACACGTGTGCTTAAAAGTGAAGAGGGCGAAGAGCTATCTATGCACATCCTGGCATCATAGTGTTTCCATGCATACCTCCCCCTTCCCAGGGAAGACTTCTGCAGGTAAAGAAGTCATCATAGGAAAATCCCCCTCTGTGCACATGTTTCATGCCTCTTATTTTGTAGTTGGAGGTAAATCATTAGTATTTTTCCTAGCACAGTAACTCATGGCATTTAACTATATGCATTCATGGATAAAGTCCTAGCTACAGGGGGAAATTCTGGGCTTGGCTTCCTACAGGCAGGCTCTCTCTTTCTTTCTCTCCCTTCCCATTTGGATTGTGTGAACATATGCCAGCAGCATGTACAAGTGATACCATCACTCCTTTCTTCCACAAATAAAAGGGGTGGGGAGAGAGGAAAGGCGGAGTGGCTTTCCTAGAAGCGCAGTCACCTGCCAGACTGCGAAGGGATACTTGTTCCTGGCAAGAAGGCAAGTGAGTTCATTGAATCCTCCCCATTTGGATTCCCAGGAAACTTTAAGGACCCTTCCTTCTGGAAGCTCTCTATAAACAAAGTTAACACTGCTCACAGAGTTAAGTTACATGATCACAATGCAGGTTCTCTTATTAAGACATTGCAAAGGGCGTGCAATTATTCTTCTATAGCTTGGTACTGTTGACACGTGTAAAAGTTTGATTCATGCACAAGTTGCACTCTTTGTCTCTAACCTTAGATGTATGGTTGCAGCATAACATTCATTAATGTTCATAAAGCACTCTGGAAATGAAAATAGCCACATCAGGATTAGAGAAGGTTATTAGGAGGATTTCCCATTATAGGAAATTTGTTGTGCGATTCTCAAGCTGCCTATGATTTATCGCAGGGAGGGGAAAAAGGAAGGGATGAGAGGTTTGTTCTTTTTAAAACAAATACACCCATTTTAAACCGAAAATCTGAGCTGAAATTTCTGTGGAATGAAATTTGGGGAAAAGCTGTGTGGAAACTACTGTGTGGGAAAAGCCAAATTCAGGAATGTCAATACTAAGGAGAATGTGAACTGTGAACCTGAAAGGTCTTAGTTCAAATCCCACCTCTGCCACAAATTCACTAGCTGACTAATGTATTGATATCAAACTACACACAGTCCAGTTCTGACCCAATTATAGTTATCTCCAATCTCCAGAGCTGTGCCAGAACGATGTGGTCTTTGGAGCCCTGGCTGAGTGGCAGCAAATTCACTACCCAGAACATCTATGCTGGACTGGTAGCGTTGCAACAGATGGAATATTTTTGATGGCTGTGACCAGCTTGGTCTATTGAGCATTTTTCTGCAAGCCTAAAAGCCAGTTAACTTTCTTAAGCATTTTTTTTTTTAAAACTGAAGAATTTTCAATGGGGTCCAGATGTAAAGAAGAAAAGGAGGTCCTACCTCTACCACTGACTTTGCATCCAGTCGAAAGTTGAAATCTCCAAAGACAAAATATGAAACTCTCTCAAACCGCTGATCTATAATTCTGAAAAGGCACAATAGGGGGGGAAAGAATTAAATGCAGTTTGCTCAGCTGTATGTGAAAGAAAGGAATCTGTAAAGTACTTTCACTTTAAAAACAATACCCAGAATTTTAACGGCAAAGAGATTACATGTGCATGCTCATGGCTCTGTCACTGAAACCCTGCCAAGGTCCTGGTGGGAAGAGAGTCTGCAAGGTGGCGCTGGGCAAGCACAAAAGTTCCTTAGACGAACTAAGGTAGACTGACAGGGAGAGGAAGACTTGATGATTGTGGGATCCACTCGGTGGGATCCAACCAAAAACCCACTCCTGGCCACACCAAGCTTTCTTCATTTCAGCATTATTTAATTTAGGGTGGTGGTTGGGTGCATGTCATTCCATTGTTGATATTGTTCAAACAATCCAGAATCAGAAATCCTTGTTGATCTACTGAAATTCAGCCAGTGATCTACCAATACAGCCAGATCTAGCTTCTGCACACCCTTGATCTAGGATGCCTGGAGCCAACCTGGAGGAGCTTCTCTGCCACTTAAAGAAAACATTAATGAACAGGTGCTCATGTTTGGATGTGTGTCTGCATGCGACCAGATGGGTTTACCTTTTTCGTTGCTAGATTAGGCAAAAAGTGTAAAGGCTAGCCACTGATGTGGACAGTGTCTCTCGCCACTTAGCCTCAGCCCTCCTATCAAAAATACAATGGTACCTCTGGTTACGAACTTAATTCGTTCCGGAGGTCCGTTCTTAAGCTGAAACTGTTCTTATCCTGAGGCGTGCTTTCGCTAATGGAGCCTCTGGTGCACAATTTCCGTTCGCATCCTGGGGCAAAGTTCACAACCAGGAGCAGCTACTTCCAGGTTAGTGGAGCTTGTAACCTGAAGCGTTCATAACCAGAAGCGTTTGTAACCAGAGTTATCATTGTAGAAGCACCGACTGTATCAGGCAAGGCAAACAGCTGATCATAAATAAACCAGCTTCTTGCAGGTGCTGATTGAAGTTCATTATTGTGAAGAAATTTGGAAGTGCAGGCTGTCACAAAATGTTACAGTGTCGAGTGCTCCTGTTCAGAGTTCCATCCATGCTATACTACTGCTACTACTATTAGTAGTAGTAGCAATATTACTATTAGTATAACTAGTAATACCCCCCCAGTATATTCCTTAGGAATGAACCTCAGATTGAAGTAGGCAAATTTGAAAAGAGATTTATGAGATTTTTTGAGGTGAAAAATATTATGATGCTATAGCTTTGGAGTGATGGGAAATATGGTTTCTATGACAGTTTTGATACTTTAAGACTAAGTTAAACAAAGACTATAGGAATAGTTTTGCTCCCGGGAAAACTACCTGTTGCAAAAAACAGGAAATCCTGAAGGCATGAAATAAATACATCGAACTGGCCTACTGCTTAGTAAAATAATTTGTGTTAAGCAATTTTCTAGATGGTGGGGCATCAGAATATGCTGCCACACTACCTCGATCTGCAGCCTTGCTTCGAGTGATCTCAGAGAGATGAATGGGTTTGAAGAAGCAGCATATGAAAAGCATGTACTCCTTTAGGTTTTAGCAGTTAACAACTATAAATCTCGACAGCTCATCAAATATCAAATATATTCAGGGGGGGTGTTCCCCTCCCCGACTGACCAGGAGAGCTTCAGAAGTTGCTTCATTGTAATCCTGCATTACAATTTCCTTTTGAACATGCCATGAATCAAAATTTCCTATAAAAGGTTGCAATTAATCACCCAATGGAGTGATAAATTTCAATGGTGTAAAAAAGGAAGCAGCCAAGTCATGTCACCAGCATTAATTTAATGTTTCACAGTGGGAGGATCTGATTCTATTTCACATAGTTCTTATCTGATGTCCGCATTGCATTACCAAAAATACTGTAATTTATCTGCAAGACTTACAACCCAATCCGATGACGCTACCACAACCGATCACGTTAAAGGAGCCCACCACTACAATAAGGCCACCATTTGCTGCTCCATCTTTTTGGGCTGGTACAACTGCTAGGCAGAATAGATAATGCTGCTGAACCCATGCTGAATATAAGGCAGCTTCCTTTGCCTCTGTATCCTGAAACCCAGGAGAACATGATCACTTCCTCCCAAGTTTCCAAGCACTTCCACGTCATCAATCAGTTCCTCCCTATTGGTGTGGATCAGGTCCAAGATAGATGATCCCCTTATTGGTTCTTCCATCTTCTGGGAAATGAAATTGTCAGTGAGGCAATGGAGGAATTTGTCAGACCTTACACTCTTGGCAGAGTTTGAGTCCCAACAGATATCTGGGAAGTTGAAGTCCCCCAGGATTATTTCTCTCTGTTTTGAATGTTTGGTAATCTGCTCTAGTAAGACATCATCCAAGTCTTCCGTCTGGCTTGGCGGTCTACAGCAGACACCCATAGTAAGGTCACTGTTGTTCCTTTCTCCTACAATTTTTACCCATATACTCTCCATCTGCTTTTCATGCTCCAGGTCATGGATTTCTTCACAAGTGTACACATCCTTTATATGTAATGCTACTATATTTGAGTTACTTGCGACATCAGCAATCAGACCGAGTGACCTAATGCCCTCCAGGGAACAATGTCTATTAACATTTTAACTGAACATGCAGGAAGAATAGTCAAAAATCACTATTAGGAAATTTGTCATTGGGCTGTTTCAGCTGCAACACACCAAACCATGGTTTGTGAACAAGCTTCAAGACCCCCATGTCCATAGTACCTTGCTATGCTTCCGTCCCCTCCTTCTCTCCATAGTGCCTCAGTTTCATCCCTTTGTTCTTGAATTGAGGAAAAACTATGTTGCTTATAAACCTGGCTGATTAGGTGATGCAAATCGTAGCTTGCTTGGTTGAATGAAATGAGAAACAGTGGTTTGCTTTAAAGCAGGAAGGGAAGCCAGAAACAGTGGATCATGAGGAGAAGAAGAATGGAGAAGTGGTTGAGCCTGAGGGTACTTCTGGCCTTGTTGATGTGGAACCAACTCAAGGGTTTGGCATTATGCCTGAATCAGCCCACAGCCAGAAAAAGTGTAATTCTGCAGTTTAGTCTCGACATTCCATGTTTTTAAATGTATCCGTCACATCCAACATATGCTTTGTGAAGTGTTTCCATAGGTGGATATTCCGGCGGGGGTGGGGGCAGTTCAGAAAGCAACCATCTATCACAATTATGATCCACTTGCTTGCTGTTGTTAGATCTGTGATGGTGCCTTTCCTTCTTGTTCAACAATGATTCACATGCCACATTAAGTACTCTTACTCAGTTCAATATTTGCAGCAACGGCTGTAGCAAATATAAAAATCCATACTCAAAACTGACTAACTTATGAGCCATAAAACTGCAATATGAATTCCTGACTTTGACCCTCAGTAAATTACAAGTACTGCCTGAGCTCAGCATAACTGAGAGACAGTCTCCCATACTATGCCCCATCCACAAATTTCCCTCCACAACTCCAAGACTTGCTTTTCTAAAAAAGAAAAATTTGAATGAAAGCTGAAGTGAAGGGCACACAAATGTTAAGAGGTTGTAGGCAGCTGACCAGTTTATTCCATTATTTATACTAACATGGACATAAATGGAATTTCAGAGTCACAATGCATGGATGGAGTTAATTTCATGACAAGGGCCTCCTCAGTTATTACCTGTAAAGAGGGGAAATGAGTAGCAAAGGGCTGTGGGGCTGCGTTTTCAGTATCACTAAAAGCTTGTGCAGGCAACTAACACGCAGTCGCTTTTGCAACGGGGAGTTTCATTTGCTCATGGAGTCTTCTTGTGTGAGGTAGAATGCTGATCTTCCCGGGTTCTAAATCACTCAGGGAACTCCATGAATACAGCAGTCTCCCTGCTGCAGAAGTGAAAATGCAAGCACTGCAACAATAAGGGGCAAGGGGAAAAGTGCAGTCCTGCAATCCCTTGATACCCGCTTTCCTGCTTGAAAGTAAGCGCTGAAAAAGGATAATAATGAATACAGTACTTTCAAGGCACGGGGAAGAGGGGGGAAGGGAACCTTTCAAATTTATCTCAACGGATGAGAAATCATAAAGCGCGCTTGAAAAGGAGATTATGCTGATGTTGCCGGTAAAGAAATGGAAGAATTTCTAAATCATTACTCTAAATGGAACAAATCAATAAGCCCTTTAAACACAGATATGCATAATTTCTACTTAAAACTGAACACTACATTCATTACACTGGAATCCCATGCTTCCTCCAAGGTGATTAGGTCGGCGTTATCTCAAATTAATCTCAGCATCCCATTGAGGAGGATTAGGGGGAACATAAGAACATACAAAGAGTGCCCAGACCAAAGGATCATTTAGGCCAGCATCCTGTTATCACGGAGGGACGCGGGTGGCGCTGTGGGTTAAACCACAGAGCCTAGGACTTGCTGATCAGAAGGTTGGCAGTTCGAATCCCCGTGACGGGGTGAGCTCCCGTTGCTCGGTCCCTGTTCCTGCCAACCTAGCAGTTCGAAAGCATGTCAAAGTGCAAGTAGATAAATAGGTACCACTCCGGCAGGAAGGTAAACGGCGTTTCCGTGTGCTGCTCTGGTTTGCCAGAAGCAGCTTAATCATGCTGGCCACATGACCTGGAAGCTGTACGCCGGCTCCCTCGGCCAATAAAGCGAGATGAGCGCCGCAACCCCAGAGTCGGTCATGACTGGACCTAATGGTCAGGGGTCCCTTTACCTTTACCTGTTATCACAGTGGCCAACTAGATGCCTGCGAGCAAGACGTAACTGCAAGAACAGTCTTCCCACTTATGCTCTTCAACATCTGGCATTCAGAAGCATATGTCCTTTGATACGGACACCAGCCATTGGCAGTCATATCCTCCATGAATGGATCTAATCCCCACTGAAAGCTGTCCAAGTTGGTAGCCATTACTACACCTTGTGGTAAGGAGACAGTGGCCATCCAGAAGCTTCATACCAGAGTGGGCTACTGAAACCGTACCTCTGTGGCCCACATTTTAGCACTCTCATTGTG